CTATCATGCGCCCAAATAGCTGAAACCAATCAGAATTATATATACACTTGCATTACACTGTACTTTCTATCAATTAGAAATAGTTTATTTTCTCTTCCAATGCACATCCACTTCGTAAAAGAAATTCTAGCCAATATAATTAACATCTCTAAACTCTAATATTATTTTATAGATATAGTATTCTGTTACACTGCTATCATTTGTTACATTAACAAATGATTAATTTCATTAACGCATGATCTTTTCATACTGTAAGGTACGAGAACACACGACATTTCATAAACATTATTCGGCTGAAATTATGCGTACATAACAAAAGCTGTACCAAAGATATAATTTTAGAAATTGATAATGACCTTCGATGTTGAAGCATCATTAACTTCGGCACTCTATAAAAAGGGAAACAAGGAAAAGCTCGGGATGGTAGTCGATGGTAGTTGACGGCCGTCGATGATAGTCGCTTAGTTAGTTAGTCAGACAGATAGCCACGGTTAATTCGTATCGAGTCTGTATCGAGTCTGTATCAACTCTGTATCGACTCTGTATCGACTCTGTATCGAAACAGTAGCAGTTTAGTTCAGTAAACTCTGTATCGACTCTGTATCGACTCTGTATCGACTCTGTATCGACTCTGTATCGACTCTGTATCGACTCTGTATCGACTCTGTATCGAAACAGTAGCAGTTTAGTTCAGTAAGCATCAGATCTGTATCATGATCGCTTGAATTCGACGTGCATCACGTTACGACGACGATATAGAAGTAAACACTTTTAAAGTTAAACATCGGAGTACTAACATCTAACATGTCCTCCTCCTCGATGCTGTTCTCTACGCAAGCACATTGAAATGAAGTTTTTAATAATTAAATTATAATTTTTCTTGAAGATATGATGCATATACTTTAACTTTAACAATTTACTTTAATAATTAATAATATAATTCAGTGTGATATATGTTACGACCGTTCGCGGAGAGACGCGGTCGCGAGAGAAACGCGTCAGCGAGAGGCGTAAATTCTCGCTACGATTCGGTTAATCGACGCCGCGAAATAGTCGTTCCCCTGTTTCGGTTAAGATAACAGAGGTGGTTAAATGAATATGACACAGTATAGTAAGTTATATTTCACCGTTTATTCTAACAACTTCGTTTATTCTAACAACTTATAACGAAGACAGTTACGCTGGTGCGTATGTACGAGATGAGTGAGTGTCTGATCTACGGGTGTGTATACCCGGTTGAAGGATGTTGACCGTTCGAAGGATGTAAAAACAGTGATGTTCGGAGACGATGCTGTTGTCACGACCGGCATACTTCAAATCCGACGGACTGCCGATAGAGATAAAGATGTGGCGGCACTCGGCGACAATGTATATCGCTAAAGTGCCTAATGAACCATCAACATCCCAACAGTCCTTCCATCGAAGGTTCTAGAAGAAAGAGCACGTGGCAACGATCGCGGATGCCTAGCAAATGCGTGGAAGGTGGGGATGTTGAGGGATGACAAAAGAAAGTAATCGAATCCGATCAAAAGTAAAATCATAAGAGTCAGTCTTGGAAAGTCACGCCTAGAGTTCGAAAGTAGATTGTAAAGTGTATTGATGTTAGAAAAAAAATAAAGTTTTCTTTTTTTATTTTTTACCTCAAATTCCTTTTTTTACTTTATTATTTTACGTGACACTGTGGCGAAGGAAAGCTAAGGATGGGTCTTGCGCACGGGACCATCGGATTTGTTGGTGACGATTTTAGTGAAGAGAGTGAGGGAAATAGGCTTCGTCGTTAATTGGTTAAACGAAGGGTCTTAACCGCCCTCGAGAGAAAGTGGTTCGTGGGAGGAAAGTTGCATCACACGTGAGAAAAACTAACTTTCCCTTGTCAAGCTGTAGTAGACTTTAGAAATGCTTCGGAAACAGACGTTTGTTCCTCGACCTAGGAAATTCCTGAGATTTATGGAAGGTACTTGAGACTATTGAGGGTACGCAGTGAGTATCCGAAGACATCTGGTTGCCATCTTGCCCGCGGTGTGTGGCCTGGGCTATATATAATATATACAATATATTTTAAAGCACGGTACGGCACATAAATCCACGTCATAATTTTCATACTCATAGCACGATAGTGTTTTTCAAATTGCTCTTCGTTTTCTATTTTGTAGGGACATTTTGAGGTTGGAGATTCTAAAAGATTATAGGGAAACGGATCGTCATGTTAAAAAGAGCATCTAGTAATGGTATGTTTATATTAACGAAAATCAACAATTGATATTTGACACTGGCGTTTCAAAAACGAAGATAAGAACGTTGTGGGGGCAAAAGAAGTGTGAAACAAGACAAATGAAGATCATTTACTTCAAACGGTGAGCGAATGAGTCAATAGAGAGTCGCTATAGTGGCATAGTAGTGATATAAGATGACATCCACGAAAGCCACTATAGTGGCACCTAAGAGGTTAATTTTCAATATTTCGAGATCATTGATCCTTATGGCCGCTTCTATCGACACGCTTACCAAACTACATTAGTTATATTAAAACTTATTCAAATACTATTGTTGGAAATAAAATTTATACATAATAGACAAATATTATTCATAGTATAATTCGAAATTTTAACAAATATCTTGTAATCCTGTGCTTGTACTTTCTAGCATAAATTACCTAATATAATCATTACGCTTTTGTTCACTGCTTCGTAACGCGCAGTATCACTATAATGTACGCTATTAATTTTAGTTGCAAAATCATTAATCAAGAATGATATTGCATTTCCTGTATCGAGAACTGCTACTGTTTCGCTTATACCGAGTCGTATTTTTGCAAACAACTTTGTGAACGATTTCGTATCTGTTACGCCACGAGGCTTACCACAGACTGTATTTTCTAACCGTCGCTCGCGGTCCTACAACGTCGCAGGCAGACCGTCTTATCTGCCCGTCGGATCATATACAATGTATCGACGAGAGCATAGTTGTCGCCAAGCAGCGAGCTCTAGAAACGTCGATTTTTGACCGTTACGTTTTTCACACAAGAAGAGGCATACGTGATCATAGGCGCGAGCGGTGGCGTGACCCGAGCACAGTGGGGGTCGTCTTCCAAATGAGACAAAGGAATAATCGAAGGGCGATCAGTTCCTTCTGACGAGTCAAACGTGACACTTCGACAAATCTGACGAGCAAACGAATTTATCTAGAGATATCACAAAGTCGAGTCAAATTTCTGTAATATATTCATCATATTATTGTAAAATATATTATTCTATGTTAACTTGTTAATACAGTGTTACATTCATTAAACCAACTCTGTTATCTTAACCGAAACAGGCGAACGACTATTTCGCGGCGTCGATTAACCGAATCGTAGCGAGAATTTACGCCTCTCGCTGACGCGTTTTCCTCGCGACCGCGTCTCTCCGCGAACGGTCGTAACAGTATCCTTTATGGACATTTAATCAAATTCACATATAATATAAGTAATAAATTGTAAAACGACGCTTGTCGTATTTCTTAATGTTTAGTAACTTAGCGTTGGCGCTGTAAAAAAACGAATTTATCTTAGAACCAATTAATTCTAGGACAACGTTCTGTTTTAAATTACGTGGAAGTATTCCTCAAATCGATAGAAACAAGTTTCATTACGGTTGGATGTAAAGTGTGAAAATTACTGTGTGTTACAACTGAGCAAAGACCATTATCGCTGCATTTTAGCCAAGCGTTTGCATGAAAAGATTTTGTTACATTTGCATGTCAAAATATAGGTTCTCCAGATGGCGTACAAGCACGGAGGATAAACTGAGACAAGCTCGTACATTTTTATTATTATTCTATTCTTTGTGTAATAATAAAGTTGTGTAAAAAAGTGGAATTGTTACTGAGTTTACTCTATCATCTGATAATAAACGGAAAGATTTTTTTTTCTTTTTTTTTTTTTTTTTATTTTTTTGTTGAAATTACAATCAATTCTCGCGTTGAGAATTTTCAGTAATTTTTCTGGCGTGGTGCAGTGACATGGCTGTTTATTTACATAAACGGAAAGATAGCAAAGAAATCTCGTTCGTAGCAGGAGCCTACTTTGAAGGTAATGAAACGTAAGTAAATTTGTATTTTATTAAATATATTATTAAGGTGAAATCTAAAAAAAAAAGAATATTCCATAAAAGTCTTGTTATTTAGTTAATTGCATTTTAGGGGCTCCGTACAAACTCGAACCAAACGAGGTAGGCGACCACCTAACCTAGCGCGCCACTTACAATAGGAACAAGCACTAAGTATCACGGCCGGTTTGCATGTGTCCCTAACCGACTTGTCTAAAAGAGCTATTCAAGTGGTTGAATCGCTTCGTTGACTGGACGAATAGATGGACTAGACCTGAGCGTCTATAAGCCGGCTTATCTATGTCTAGACCAGGTAGATTTACTTTATTACAATAATAGTGATTGGAAGAAAAAGGGAGAAGCTAATTCTGTTTTTCTACTTGAGCAGAAAATCAATAAATTTGGATTTACTCCAGCAAACCTTTTCGTTTGACAAATTACATTACGAACTACATTATTTGCCACTTGTCTCTACTACTGGAACTTACTCTTATATACTGGACTAGATTTCGATGTTCACACAGGGCAACTTCTTAAATTCTTTGTTACTTACCTGCTGTACTGGCCGTGTCTGACCCAGCCTGCAGAAACTTGGTGGAAACATATGTAGTTTTAAAAATTCGCGCTTTACGTACAGACATATTATGATAGAGATTATTGGAAGTTGGTCGATAAACTAAATTTGATTAACAGCCTTTTCGAATTTTGCGCGTATGTGACGAGTGTCTTGTAGGTAATATAAAATGATTTTATACAAAAATTAACTTAAAAAACATTATATTTTAATAATCTGTATGTATATCTTATATTTTTAAACATATTTTTTAATATTTTTTCTGTATTTTTTTATGATAATTTATAAAACATCTGCCAAGATGTATTGAAATAAGTATCGCAATAATAAGTTGTTTCATGTCTTTCTCCTGCTTTATTTCGGAAAGAACATACCTTATAATACTTTTTTGTTCCTGTTACAACTACATGGAGCTTTCCATTTAACTGAATTTCGTCACAATTAACAGTTGACGTCGAAGATCGATCTCGGGATCAACTGGAATCAGGAGAGACTCGTATCGTTGTTCCTTGGAGTAACAACCTTGTTTTGGTTTGTTAAGTTTAAAGATAAACAAACTTCCCTTCTTAGGAGAAGGGGCCGCTATATAGTGACGTTTGGATCCAGTTGATTAAAATTTATAGCTCCTGGCGTTTGTAGTCATCGTGGTTCACTGTGTCAATGTTTATTTGGTGATGGATTGTTCTTAAGTTGATATTATCGCTGCGTTATGTGCTTCAGCAACCGCTGGTTCCGCATCAAACGGACTGTCCTGCTTGGACTCTGGTTTCAGGAGAACAGTTGCGCTCTGAATTGACCAGCATTAGGCTTAGTTTGTTCCTTGGAGGTGTCACCATGCTGGCACTGTGCAAGGAATGCGCTGCTTCGTCCTTCGTGGCGAGTTCGCCGTTGGGAGGGTCAGGTGGAATGGCTCGACTGCTCTGTAGTGTTCCAAATATCTCCGTAGTCCGATAGCTTGTTCATAGCCCTCCAGCAGGCCTTCGATAATGCGACTCCAAGATATCAGAACCTTGCAAGTTCGTTCTCGGTCTCATCTTTGTTTCGGCTTAACGCGGAGATTCTGATTCGGGCCAATTGCAGATATGATCCATCTCGGAGGCGGCGGCGGTGGTGTTTCACATTCTGTTCCGGATAATGATTCTCCGATACGATATTCTTGATCTGGAACGCTTTGTGACGCTTTGTAACAGATCGAAGATGTTTAGTGGCGTTGGTTAAGGTTATGCTCAGATAATGACGATGCGAATGTGGTTGCCGTTGAAGGGGGTGTTGGAGGGGGTGTTGGAGGGGGTGTCGAAGAGGATGTCGGAGAAGTTTTCGAAGGGGGTGTCGAAGAGGGGTCGAAGAAGGACTCGAGGGAGTCGAGGAGGGAGTCGAAGAGGGGGTCGAAGTGTGTGTCAAAGAGAGCGTCGGCGAGGTTGTCGAAGGAGGAGTCGAGGAGGGAGTCGATAAGGGAGTTGATGAGGGAGTCGAAGAGGGAGGCGAAGGAGGTGTCGAAGGAGGTGTCGGAAGAGGTGTCGGAGGTGTCGAAGGAGGTGTTGGTGATGTCCAAGAATGTGTCGGCGAGGGAGCCCAAGGATGTGTCGGAGATGGTGTCCGAGAATGTGTTGAGGAAGGTGTCGAAGAAGGCGTCCAAGAATGTGTCGAAGAAGGTGTCCAAGGATGTGTCGAAGAGGGTGTCGAAGGATGTGTCGAAGAGGGTGTCCAAGGATGCAACTATTTTATCGATTTTTATGGCTTTTAATAACAAATTCTTTTGTGAACAACGCATTCGCAAAGCATGTACTTCTGTTATGAACTCTTCCACTCCAACTTCATCGTCACCGAATAAAGTTAGTATATCTCTTATTGCATCTTCCGTTGATAACATAATCTGGTGTTGTGGTTCGTTGTAGTATTGGTCTCCGCCATTGCTATCGCTTTTAGGATCAAATGTCGTTTGGGATGTGCTCGCTGCAGGTATACCATCCTTTTTTCCCGATTTCACGGTTTTCTTTGTGGTCTCCGTGACAGATTTAGAATTTTTGGTCTTAATTATTTTTTTACTTGTAAGAACTGGATTTATTTCGCCAATTGCTTGTTTTCCCAGTTTGATTTCTTTAGCGAGGCGTTCGTTCTTTTCTCTTGCTTGTTGTGTTAATATTCGGATCTGTTCTTGAATTTTGGTATGTTTCTGTATCGCTTGTAGTACTTGCCGTAGATCAGAGTTGATATCTTTAGATGGTAAGTCACACATTTTTTTTCTTTTCTTATTTTTTTTTTTTTTCTCGAAAATTGCTACTTAGTCCGAATTTTGGTTGGCAAAAGAATCAAGCTTTACCTTGATGTTTCTGTATCGCTTGTAGTACTTGCCGTAGACTAATGTTGATATCTTTATATGATAAGTCATACATTTTTTTTCTTTTCTTATTTTTTTTTCCCCGAAAATTGCTACTTAGTCTGAGTTTTGGTTGGCAAAAGAATCAAGCTTTACCTTGATATCCGTAGAAATGGAACTTCCGTAGAATATCCGTTAACTTCAGATTGCGAGTTTATCGTTGATGATGACACGTAATCCAAGTTAAGTCCGTTTCACGTAGGTAGAATGTCTTGTTTTCCTAACGAGCACTTATCACTATTGCTTAACTTGATATTTAATTTCACTTTTATATTTTGATATGCTTTTACTCACAAAAATGATTAAATGCAATATTACAATGAAGTAGCGAAGTTACAAAGTATCAGAACAGTTCAAGTCACGCGCAACGATCTACCCAAGACTAGTTTAGTGGTCGAATGCTCGTAGTTTTTATATGAGCGGAGCTTGAAAAAGTTGAGAGGCGAGGAGAGGACCCTGAGTGACCTACGTGATGGGGAAAGTTTGGTTTTGGCCATGTGCCCAAAGGCCAGGTTAAATTCTAACGGTTCATTGTCACTAGCGTGGAATGGTATGGATTTATGTATAGTCCATGTGACATGGACACTCGGTTGTTCTTTGTACAATTGTCAACGTGGACGAGCGAAAGCAAAACCACGCAAATTCTGCATTTCCGATAATATACAAGACTGCTTTGAATTCGTTCGATCGATTCCTAACAATATCTATAAACAGTGAACTTAAGGCCCCATTCACAATTACATACACTAGATTGTAAGAAATATTTGTTGTATATGTATGTAGCGGCACATGAGTCATAGGACGATTCGAATCGAGAGTGACTTGTGTTATTGTTTTGCCTAGGAGTATTAACACCGTTTCGATGTATGAGATTTAAAAGTAAACAAACTCCGGACAAAACCAAACTCCAGACAAAATAATATGGCCGCTACGTGCAATCATCAACCGGAATCGAATTCAAACTTCTCCTCTGATCAATATAAATAGGCGAGTATGCGCTCTAGAACATTCATTAACCAGTATCACTATGGCGAGTAGCATTGAGCAAACGACGATTACAACGTAATATACTTTTTTTTTTTTAAATATTTACTAAAATTACAATCAATTCTCGCGTTGAGAATTTTCAGTAATTTTTCTGGCGTGGCGCACTAACATGGCTAATTATTTATAAATAGTTATTACTTACTATAGATAAGTATAATGCGTAATATACTAACTCTGTATTTTGTACTTTTTTTTTATTTGGTAGACTATTTACAATCAATTCTCGTTGAGAATTATAAGTAAATTCTTTTGGCGTGGTACTGTAACTTGGATTATAATAATTTATAATATGTTTGATTCTAGTTGGATCTAATGGTATTCTGTACTTAGAGCGATTTTTAATATATCTGACTATCACGAGTATTCACTCGTCTCGTCATTAAATAAATCAACACGTTTGACATCCGCCTCAGCTCATTTGAAAGCCATTTGCATAAATTGGAACCGCCGACTTTGCACAAATCGCTTGTTATTGTTTTAGTAGGGCTGACTTCTTAGAGTAGTCAGTAGAGAAAATGTCGTCCATGTATATTTATTCTAGATCCCACAAAGGACATAACCTAACAAACACGATGATGGTACCCCGCTGGGGGTAGCCACCCAATGTTATATTAGTATACCGCTATAATATTTTACCAAATGTCCTACTGGACAAATTGTAAAATTTGAATAATAAATAACAAATAAAAAAATGTATATTTATTTCTCTAGAATTGCTGCTCTTAGAGAAAACATTGTTTTCGTCTGCAGTTAACTCTTTTGTATATTGCAGCGGGAGACTATAACTCAAAGCACACACTATGGGGATCAAGAATCACCACACCTCGAGGCAGAACCTTGGGAAAATACATTAGAAATAATAACCTCAATACGTTATCCACAGGAAGAGGGACATACTGGCCGACAGACCTGAACAAAATATCTGACCTGCTAGACTTTGCAGTTACAAAGGGACTAAACGGAAATTTTTTTTTTTTATTTATTTGTTGAAATTACAATCAATTCTCGCGTTGAGAATTTTCAGTAATTTTTCTGGC